ATTATGTCTATACTAACATGCCTTAATGAACACAAGCTTGAAAGATTCATACAAGGGACAGATTAAACTTACTGATTTGCTTCATTATTCTGTTAATTGCAAATCTTAATTGTTGTCAGATCATTTCACATGTTTAAATTCTTTCATAGTAACAATGTTTTCCCGGTATTTTAGTTGATTCCTTTTAACATTTATTTCATTTTAACAGACTATATTTCTTGTAAATGCAGTCCATGTGATTCGAAGAAAGTCTACCAGATAATAAAATGTATTAATTAACGAATTTACTGGAAATAAAATTGAGAATGGAAATGGGGAATGTGTCAAAGAGACAACAACCCGACCATAGAACAGACAACAGCAGAAGGTCACCAACAGGTCTTCAATGCAGCGAGAAATTCCCGCACCCGGTAATGTTTTCGGTAATACTATATATACATGACGTGCATTAAAGCAGTTTTTGGATACTTTGTTATCATGAAATCGTAAATGAATTGATACTTCAATAAATACATGAGATAAACATATTAAAAATATATCGTTTCGTCATTTTAAGTGGATATCTTTACATTATATAAAACACGAGATATGATTTCATGTGAGAACACTATACGCCAAAGGAAAAGAATGTAAACAACTACGGGTAATCGAAAGCCTCCAAGAACGAGCAACCAACACCGTACAGCTAGCTATTACAGGGACCGCGATTACAAGATTTCAAACAGTTTGAAAGAAAAAATTAAGTACTTGATTTAAGCTGATAACATTTAAGAAACTACAACAGACACGTACAGCAACAAACGACATCAACTATAATAGAGGCTCCTGGCTTTCGAGATTTCGAAAAAGAAAAGAAAATTAACGATTTAAGATTAACTTAAGTTTGAAGTTGAAATCATCCCGTCGAAAACTTTACGGACGCAGTCACTTGGTGGTTGACCGTTATGAAATATCTGTTTCACGAATGACAACGGATATGTCCCAATCGTCGTACCCACAATCCCGTCCCCCGTTTCCCCGAATGGGACCTACCAAATTAGACTTATCAACGGGTTGTACAAACATGAGCAACACGACGGGTGCCACATATGGAACAGGACCTGCTTACCCTTTAGGAGCACCTGAGATCACCCCCTGTTTCTGGTGGGTTTCGTGATGCTCGGTCTTTAGTTATATGTGATGTGTTTTGTGTACTTTTGTTTGTCTTTTGATCTTTTTCAATTTTTTTTGCCATGGCGTTGTTAGTTTTTTTCGACTTATGAGTTTGAATGTCCCTTTGGTGTCTTTCGCCTCTTCTACAGTCACTATTAGTTCAAAGTCTATTTTTTACTAACAAATTGAATATATGTTGGCCTCGAACATCAAGGAAGAGACATCAAATTGTCGAAATGCGTATCTTGTGCAGTAAAATTTGAGCCTTTAATGTAATTCATAATATATGCATATGACAGTTGTTAATTGCATATAAGGGAATGTAATTTGATAGCCATGGCATTTATGTCTCCCTTTAATTGAGATGCATATATTGACATAGAAATGTACACCTTGATACATTTGTTTATTGACATTACATATAAATTCACTGATTGACCACTCGAGTGAATAAGTAGCAATGCATCACGGACTACTGCATTTTACTTGTAGTAAAAACACAAGTGATCTTAGTTTAACAATAACAAACTTCAATAAGCTTGCAAAAAATTATTTTGAAAGAATTTTGCATTTGAACTGAAAATACTTTTATGTTCTGGTTTACAAAATGTTTCACGAGAGAATTGCAATTGAATTCACGTTTTAAGTGCGGTTGTGTTACTCACTTTTTAGTTTATGATTTAATGTTGTCTGTACTTGTTCGTCTTTTCCTTTCCTTCGTTCTTTCAATGGCGTTGCCAATTTCTCTTCGGCTTTTTGAGTTTTGATTGCCCCCTTGGTATCTTCCGTCAATGTTTTAAGACATTCCAACGATTTACAGTTCTGACGTAAGCTGATCTTGTGTTTTTATCACGATAGCGTTTAAACGGCAGCGCTGCGGAAAACATTGTGTTGTGTATTGACTTGTTTCGCTTTGTCTGCTTTTATCTAGTCAGTTTGTGATTGCCAGATGTAACAAATAAAGGAAACAGTAGTTATGCCACCTTGTTGATTTGTCTGAACAATTAAGCTGAATTGTTATATCTCTTCGTTTAGGAAAATACAGTTTGTCGTACCAACTGCCTGGTATTTAAATTATTATATATCTACCTCGGTGTCATGTATTAGTTGTTATATATACTTGTATTCTATCGAAATCTTGATATATCAATTGGTTTTAGAAATTAAGCAGTGTATCACCAGCTTAGAAGTCAGCACTTCTATGCTGATATGAAATATAATTGATACGTTTAATTGGTTTTTAATGCGCTTCAACTTCTTATTTTATTTAGCCTTGTTGTTGTCGTACTCTAATCTTCATTTAAAAATGATGAAAAAAAGAAGGACGGTTTATTCTTTTTCATTCAGATTAATCAGTAACACTTGAGATTCGCATACAAAAACTACGTTATTGTCAAACTTTATAATGTCAGGCTACATGCATAAATGACATCTGTATTCATTTAACTTACACCAAAAACTACACAAATATTTTTTAAAGATCTTTTTTTTAAATAGATTATCAAATTCTGTGAAAAGTAGTGAAGCGTTTAAAGACAAGACTTTATACAACTATAAAAGTTTGCTAGCCCACGCTTCTGTACAACATCAATTATTATCCCTTTATCAGTAAGAGTTATTCAACTTCAGTTGTCTTTGCAAGTAAATAATAGTGAATTCTTTCAACTTTATAGGCAATACAAAGGTAAGAAACAATAAAAATAAAGTGCATTTAACTTTCGTTGTCTCGAACTCGAATTGATACAATACAAATAAAGTTAGAATTGTTGAAAAGAAAAGAAATCGTGAACATAAATAAAAGATGTGACTAAACACGTATTCATCAAAGTATACAATTTAAATCATACAATCTATCGTAGTCTTTGCTTATCGCACTAATTGAAAGTGATACAAGTTTGTACATTTTGTAAAAAGTGTGTTGAGGTAAAGGTTGATTGATTAATTGTTGATTGTTTTGGTGGCCAGATTTGATAGGTGGAGGGAGAGGTAGAGAACCACTGACCAAATACAAACCTAGTGAATTAAGATTATAGTCGAGTGTATCTGCCTAAGCGGGGTTCGAACACATAAAATCAGACTCAGTGTTGCCTTAGCTTGACTGGCTAGTGATTTATAGTAGATGAAGTACTAAGACAACTCGGCTACCTACACCCCGTGAAGTAAAGAAAACTCGTTGGAAATCTTCTTTCAATCAGCTTCGATTCCATCATGTCAATACATGTTCATTTTACATTCATTTCGTAAAATTAACTATCTGAATAAAAGTCGGTGTGCAATATATGTACATACATGTACTCACAAGAAACCAACAAGTAGAAGTACGTCTTTCTCTATCAACATCCTTCTACTTATTTTACTAGAAGCCGCTGTGAATGATTTGGATATTGACAAAATGTCTTTGCACGCCAATGCAAACCTAGAATGTCCCAGTGTCGTGTACATGCTTTGTATTCACTCGGAAATACGAAAAGTGCAACCCTATATGAAACTAATTCAACTCCAGTACTCCAGTTACATGGTTAAGCTATCGTTTTTCACTCCTTATGTCCTTAAAAAGGAAAATTCAAAACAGAAAGTCCCTTACACAATGGTCAAATCAAAAGCTCAAACACATCAAACGAATTGAAAACAACTGTCATAATACTGATTTGGTACAGACATTGTAACATTGGTACCGTTTATATTTTTACTACCACTTGGTCGATACCTTTGAGGGTGGACTGTTCTTCTCCGAGAGTATCACCAGCTCAGTAGCCAGTATTTCAATACTGGCAAGAAAATACAGATATTGTTTTGATTGAAATTTACTGTTATACAATTTTAGAAATTATTTTCTAAAATAAAGAATATATCTCTTCATTCAAAGCTCTGATTCCTTATCCGGTTTTGTCTATACATTAGAACCTTTTGGTCGATCAGCTCTCTAACGTTTGTATTAGGTTTTGGCCTCAAACATCATTGAAGATACATAAATCGAAATGCGCATCTGGTGCAGTAAAAAGGTACCGTTTATATTATTACACAAATAACATGAATAACGCAGAATTATTTCACGACATATATCTAAAGATTGATTGTACTATTTATGGAAAACAGAAATATATATTAATATTTTTCTGCTAATAATAGTAATATTGGCTGAAAAATGATTCACTGTGGCCATTTTTACATAGTTATATAATGGAAATTCCTTCAGAAACAGATCCATGTAAATTCTCATTTCATTTATATTTATATCATAATATACTGTTAATTTATAAAATCTAACACACATCCTTTATTGAAATTAAAAATATATAACATTTTAGGAAAAATGTTATGTATCAGGAAACTTTCAAGACCTGTCTGATTCTTAGGTGGAACGATACGTAATACTTCAACGTTAAAGGACAAAATAAACTAACATGTATTTTCATTAAAAGCTTCATCCTATCTAAATATTCTATTTGAATAGTCACCATGCTTCCTAATACACATGTACCGATAAGGTTTACCCACCGGATCTAACTTAAACTGAATACACAAGTTAAAAGATGGTCTTTATACATTTAGACCTGTGTGGTAGTCCTAGTGTTATCTTCATTAAAAGATAATGAAGAAAGCGATGGACGACTTTTTCTTTTTCATTCAGATAAATCAGTTATACTTGGGATTTACATACTACGTTATTGTCAATTTTTATATATATTTTAAGTTAAATGCATAAAGAACGTCTGCATTCTTGTTACTAATATCACATATAACTTAGACATTGTTTAAAGATCTTTTTTCAAATAGACATATACATGATATAATCATTATTAAATTCTTTAAAAGAAGTGAAGCGTATTAAAACACTATATGAATAGACTTTGTACAACCATTAAAGTTTGGTAGTCTACGCTTTTGTACTGAATCAAAATTATCCCTTTAACAGCTAGAGCAATTGAACGTCAGTTGGCATTGCAAGTGAATTATTGTGGATTGTTCAAATTTATACAGACAAAAATTTGATACAAAGGTAAGAAACAATAGAAAATAATTTAATGGATAAAATACAAATTTTAAAATGTTGAACATAAATGTACGGTACACGTATCCATCAAAGTATACAATTCAAATTATACAATGTATCATAGTCTTTATTTATCATGTTTATGGAATGTGATACATGTATGTACATTTTGTGTAAAGCGTGTTGCAGCAAAAATTGATTGTAAGATTTTTGGGTTAAACGCAACTTTCAGCACTTCTGGCTATGTTTTGGTTGCCAGATTTTATAGGTGAAGGAAGCCGGAGTGCTGGAAGGGAACCACCGACCACTTACGAACCGAGTCAACTAAGATTGGAGTCGAGTGTACCTGCACAAGGAGGTTCGAACTCACAACATCATACTCAGTGTTGTCTTAACTTGACTGGCTAGTGATTTATAGTAGATGAAGTACTAAGACCACTTGGCCACCGAAAAGAAAAGTAAAGAAACTTGTTTCAAAGCCTTTTTGTTTAATTTGTAAACCTATATTTTTTTAAGTTTTCAAAATTTAAAAAAATTAATGACAGAAAATCTTTAGTTTTGTTTTGTGGTCAATGATGAGTTTTACATTGAATATCCCATAATCATGTTGATCAGGATGAACTCTTCTTGTAATTCTAAATTTTCTTGATTGACTGTATATTGAAAGACAGGGAGTGGGTGGAGGGGGGAGGTAATAATCACCAGCTTCGATTTCATCATGCAATAAATGATCATTTTACAAGTATCTTGTCTTAGGGAGGAAAAATCCTACTTTGTTATAAATCACTCTGATTCTAAAAACAAATTTTCTGAAACTGACATTATCAAGATGCTTGATTTCTTGATTGACAACATATTTGTTACGTTTAGAGGACATATTTTTCAACAAACAATCGGCATTCCTACGGGAACAAACTGTGCCCCTCTTCTTGCCGACTTGTTCCTTTATTCACATGAGGCTGACTTCATACATGAACTTCTTAGGAAGAAACTTTAACTTTACTTTCCGCTATGTAGATGATGTTCTCTCACTAAATAATTCAAAATTTGGTGACTATGTTGAACGAATCTATCCCATCGAACTTAAAGGATACAACAGATACAGTTAAGCCTGCCTCATATCTTGACACACATCTAGAAATTGACAATGAGGGTCAGTTGAAAACAAAACTTTACGACAAAAGAGATGATTTCGGCTTCCCAATTGTAAACTTTCCATTTCTATGTAGCAACATTCCAGCAGCGCCTGCATACGGAGTATATATATCTCCCAGTTGATACGATATTCCAGGGTTTGTATTTCCTATCATGATTTCCTTGATAGAGGTTTGCTGATCACAAGGAAGCTATTAGACCAAGAGTTCCAAGTGGTGAAGTTGAAGTTATCCCTTCGTAACCTCTACGGACGCCATCACGAATTGGTTGACCATTATGGAATATCCGTTTCACAGATAATAATGGATATGTTCCTAATGTCGTAACTACAATCCCGTACCCTTTTCACGAATGTGACCTACCGAATTAGACTTATTACCGGGTTTGTAATAACATGAGCAACACGACGGGTGCCACATGTCAAGCAGGATCTACTTACCCTTCGGGAGCACCTGAGATCACCCCCAGTTTTTGGTGGGGTTCGTGTTGCTCAGTCTTTATTTTCTATGTTGTGTTTTGTGTTCTATTGTTTGTCTATTGGTCTTATTCCTTTTTTAGCCATGGCGTTGTCTGTTCATTTTCGACATATGAGTTTTAATGTCCCTCTGGTATCTTTCGCCCCTCTTTAACATTCATTTAGTAAAACTAATTATCTGAATAAATGTCGGTGTGCAATATATGTACATACTCAGTAGATGGGAGGTGTCCGTTGTTATTCTGTGTTTTACATGTTTGGCTAGCCATAAAACCAGGTTCACCCACCATTTTTATTAAAATGTTCCAAGTCAGGAATATGGCAGTTGTTATCAAATAATCCGTTTCTATGTACGTTTTCAATTGAAATAATGTTGAAAATGCAAGGAACTGTATCTTTGTCTATGCATTCTGAATTCGTTTTGATCCAACGACATCGACAATGTCTTGACAACATCCTTTGTTGTATGATGTTAGAGGAGTGAAATTATCTGATTTATTTATTTCGGTTTTTATTCTCCCTGGAAATAACGAAATTTTATTGCAAACAATGAAATAAATCTCTATCTTTATGATTAAAAATAGTAAAATTTCGACCAGTTTATGATATCTAGAGAAACACGCCATTAAACCAGCAACATCCGATCCGCCTGATCGGATGACTTGCGAAATTAAGATGTGACTGTTAAGGCGATGTAGGAAGTAAAAAAAAATGTACAGTCTTGAGGAATTTGTAGTAACAATTTATTTACTCTGGTTAAAATACACTAGTAAACAAAATTTGATCTGCAACGGTCATTTTAATCTAAACAGCTCTTAACATGCTTAAAAGACTAAAAATATATTATTAAATCATTTTCAGTCTTTCGGCCAAGTTTCAGATCTATCCACTGCGGTAAATTCAGAACTGTTCAGACAATTCATTTGCATCAATTAAGATCTGTTCAGTAGTTGTTATTCACCTGAACACATAAACATTATAATGAATTGTCTGAAAAGCTATTGATCAGTACAGAATTGACTGCAAGCGAAATGTCTTAACAGCACTGATTTTCCTTAGTGGACATGTCTGACTGAAAGACTAAACATGACTGAAAAATTCATCGTTCAGACTTTTCAAATGATGTTAAGATCAAAATTAACGTTTCAGATCAAAATTGGTTAACTAGTGATATTCAGGGTTTGTAGTAGATATCATTACAAATTAAAAATTGACAAAACATTAATTTACAAGTATGTTTTAATGATTTGACTATTAAATTGTGAAAAAATATCATAAATCCATGTAATCTGGAACTAACTGATCCCAGATTTCAGACCACTTAATTTAAGATTTCCTTTTCAAAACTTTTATTTGTATTTGTCTTTTTTTTTTTTTTTGCATCTTGAACAGATTTTAATGGTGTCGTTAGCCTATTAACATGTTCATTTCAATCCGAAACTGCAAGTTCGTCCGAAGAATATGCACTTTTTGGGAAAAATTATTTCTTGTGTCATGAGATTGAAGAATAGTATTATTAAAACTTTCCACATAGTAACTGTCCATACAATGTACATAATCTTTTGGAGATAAATTTTTGAGACTTTTGAGATTGTTAATTAGTTTGTAATACTATTAAGATAAAGAATCTAGGTGATTTATTGCATTATTTAGACTGTTTTAACAAATATTAAGTATTTGTTTGATTCAATTTCAACTTAGCCAAGATAGGGAAGGGGAGATAAATAAAGGCAACAGTAGTATACCGCTGTTCAATAGTCATAAATCGATTAAGCGAAAACAAATCCGGGTTACAAACCGAAACCGAGGGAAACACATCAACTATAAGAGGAAAACAACGGAACAGAAACACTGAACTGCTACAAAAACAAACGCCAACATACATAGAAACAGACTATTTGATAACAACTGCCATATTCCTGACTTGGTACAGGACAGTTTAAGAAAAAATGGTGGGTTGAACCTTGTTTTATGGCTAGCAAAACCTCCCGCTTATATGACAATGTTAAAAATACCGCTAAAATGACAACATTACGTGACAGGAATACAGTACAAATAAACGCAAGATCACTCAGGGCAGAGAAATACATAAATAAATAATATAATAGTACATTACAACATGTAAACCACAGAATAACAACGGACAACTCTTACAGTACATTTTTTTTAAAGGAATGTTCATGATATTGTTTTTCACTTTCAACAAGTTGGGTTACACCATTTTCTATTTTGATTTTCTTAAAGCATATTATAAAACAAACTTGCTCATATTACATTTTAAAATTCTATCTCATAGATTTCTGTTATGCACAAAAAAATGTTTTGTCATGAATAATCTATGCAAAATGACCCATACGTTTATGATATTTTTGAAAAAAAACATGGTTAAATTTACTTTTTGGCAAAGTGTTACAGATTCTATCTGGGGAAATATACAGTGATGATCTTTTTTAAGGATTGTAGATAGATCACGAATAAACAGACGAACAAACAGAGGGACATCATCAATATTGTATATCCGCAGCTATCTCTAGCAGGGGTATAAATAATATCTGTACAAAAAGATCAACTTACTTCAGGACAGCCAATAACTAAAGGTCAAGCTGGCCTTTCTGGCCTGTGTATTCTTTTTTTGTAAAAGGAAGAATGCTTTGGGGTTATTGTTTGTACTCTATTGTAGATACTCTTATTTTTTATTTTTTATGAATCTTTCCAAATAAGACATGTTGAGAAAATTTGTCAACTCGCTAAATATTATATCTAAAATGAAAAGAAGAAATGTTGCATAGATTCATAACACAAAATTTGTATATATACATGATAAAATACCAGCAAATGAACAGAGCTTTTGTTGCTGTTCTTCATCTAAAAGTCAGATAGAGGCTTTCAACATGTTCAACATGTACAAAAAGCTACCACCTCACTGCAAGTTCAAATTGATCCCTTGCACTGTTTTACTCTATTGACATGTTAACTGCGATTTTTTTATGTACATAAAACAACATGTTTCAATCATGCACATTTTATATTAATTCAAAATACATGTATGAAGGCAATTAATACTTGAAAGTAAAAACTAATACAATGACAGTGGATTTTTTTGTAACACTGTACTATTTCTGCAAGAATGCAGGTAAAGTTGAAATGTCTAACTGTATACTAATATATGATGCCAAGTCTGCAGAAACAGCATGTTTGTCAGCACTTTCAATTCTGTCAAATTGTTTAGGAAATCATCATCACCAACTACATTTAAATTCTCAATTTTAACTAATGACGACTTTGATGATCTTTATATCGAAGTTTAACAAATTTGGCAAATACAGTCTAAACTTGAAATGCGGTTAACCACTCATCAGTGTTAAATTTCTTTGATCCATCATCGTTCCTTAATAGTTACAAAATACAGGTTTGATCAAAACTTGGTCTTTTTTTCTGTAGCACTGAGTTCCAAGTATATATCATGTATTAATTAGTTACCCTTCTTACTACTAAACAATTCAATGGCTAATAAAACAGTAAGATCCCATCCTTTTGCAATATTTCGATTAGTTGTCAAAAATGATTGTAGCAAAACCTTTGTTGTCATGATCAACAGCTACACATCATGCACATGTCTCAGCCCTATGAAGGTTTTCTTTGTTTGCATATAAATGCATGCCTTTGCATATATATGATATTCTAAGACAATGTAAGACGTGAGGGTTTTGTGCAAACCTTTATGCAATTTTGCTCAGGACAAGCAAATAATAGTTCATCATCTAAAAATTGTTCACCTCTCTCGGCTATAATATTTGCCTTTGGAAAATATTCAGTTTCTGCTGTTTCATTATATCCTCCATTCTAGTTTTTTTATATGTGTAATTAACAGAGTCTAGTTAGAAAGATTTCTTCTTGATAAATTGTAAATAAAATGTACCTAAAAAATATAATCATATTATCAGAATTCATGATATTATCATGGAATTGATTAAGCATAACGTAATCAAAATTGACAGCATTTTAATAGATTAGTGTTGTAGCTCAATCCTTAGTTCTTTTTCTCATCTAAAAAATGACATAAGATATATTGTTGTCTAAAACAGACTCGAATTTTTACTGACACTGCTTTTTGAGAACAATACAAGGGTTTTTACTATCAGAGCACGACAAGCTTACCTTTCTTTGGTTTTCTGCTCTCATTTTTGTCTTTTTATGGAGTCTGTATCAATAACTTCAATTTGATAACTTATATGAAATTCATTTGTTTGTAACAACGATGTTTATTGGTAATCAAAATGTATTTTTAGGGTTTGATTCTACAATCTTCCGGTCTGTAACTGAGAGAAGACGGCATTTCATATTTCTGCTTTTTTGATTCTGTCATTTCTTCAAAATAAACAAAATAATGACATAAAATAAATAAATATATAAAATTGAGAATGGAAATGGGGAATATGTCAAAGAGACAATAACCCGACCAAAAGAGCACACAACAGTCGAAGGCCACCAATGGGTCTTCAACGCAGCGAGAAAATCCCGCACCCGGGGGTGGTCCTCAGCTGGCCCCTAAATAAAATGTTTTCTAGTTCAGTGAAAATGGACGTCACCGTAAACTCCAAAACATATAAATGAACTAAAATTTATAAACATACAAGACTAACAAAAGCCAGAGGCTCCTGACTTGGGACAGGCGCAAAAATGCGGCGGGGTTAAACATGTTTTGTGAGATCTCAACCCTCCCTCTATACCTCTAGCCAATGTAGAATAAAGAAACACACAGCAATATATAGCCTCAAAGAAGAAACATGAATATAATCCAATGGTAAATTGTTGTCAACATCTTCTCACTTTACAATACAATACAGTGTTTGCATCAAAACACTGTTGTTTAAAGGGGGTATTGATTGCAAAGATGTTTTTTTTTAACCCATAATCATATATTACAATAACATAATAACATAAACGGTACCAATTTTGCTGCACCAGATGCGCATTTCGACAATCAATGTCTCTTCAGTGATGCTCGAGGCCAAAATATTTGAAAATCTAAAGCTTATTAAAAACATGAAGAGCAATAAACCAAAAAGGACAAAAAGTATAGCCAAAGCTGGGCAAGGAATCAGAGCTTTGCATGAGGGAGATACATTCCTTAATTTTAAATAATTTCTAAAAGTTTGTAACAGCAAATTTTAATAACACAAAATCCGTATTTTCATGCCAGTACCGAAGTACTGGCTACTGGGCTGGTGATACCCTCGGTACAAATGTTATAAACTGTATGATATTCTGAGGTTTTTTTGTTTAGTCATTGGATAAATGAAACACTCAATGGATGTGTGCACAAAGTGTGGCCGACTTTTTTTTACAGGAAAGGGTCAACATACAGATTCATATGCATACACAAATGTATATATAATGCTTGTACTAATTAGAAAAATAAATCAGAATAGGCAATACTTTTCAAGAAATTGAGGGGTGGGATTTCTTTAAAAAAGAAAAGAGTAAAAAACAATAACGGTAAATTATGCAGTACCTAATTTTCTCAATCATTCTTTAATGAATTTTTCTCAAAATTTTATGTATGAAGGATCGTTAGAAAATAAATTTACCCTCCTAAAAATTAATAAAAAACATTTCAGATACACTAACAAAAAATACCTGTCTTTTTCTTATAGAAGTTTAAGGTGATGACTGTTGGATTTTGGGGAGTTGGAAAATATGAATTATTTGTTTGCATCAAATTTTAGCTTATTTCCTCTTATATGAAAATAATTCATTTAAATCAGCCTATGGCAAAGATTGAAAATTCATATTTGATCCAAATATCATCCAAGCTCACCTCTCTCTTTCTTAAAAATAAAATGGTCTTCCGAAATTCTGTCTATGTGTATGGAGAGGGGTAATTTTAACCTATTTCTATGTTTATGACCTGTCTTGTCTCCAACCAGTATGCCTTGTAGACTCTCGTAGACAACACCTCAGTCTACTGTTGCCTTCCTGGAAGCTGGATGATCTGGGTAACAACATTTTAGTTTACTCTAGCTTCCTCTCCAATAAATTCCAAAATAGTCTCTGTGCTGCTGGCATATGTTTAACTGAAGCAATCTTGTATCTCTACTAAAAAAATCCAGTGCGATATGAAATGAGTAAACCTTTTTGGGTTCACGTTTACTTCTTTCCAGACCCTGCAGTCCAATCAAATGTATATGTTTGTTCTTAGTACACTGTGAATTAAGTATTGTGAGTGTGTCATTATCGTAATTTTGTTATTTCACACAAGATATACCGGTAACCATGAGAAGTCACATTTCTTATTCTCATTTGCCATGACAGACAACTTATGGTAACACAATGATTTTACAATGGAGAGTGTAAATAAGAGGGGATAACTTATAGAACACCTGTGACTGTTTTTCCATATGAAAGTGATGTTTTGGCAATTATTCATAAAAATAATGACAAAATATATGTAAATTGTGTTATTCAATAATTTTATGTTATTCAGATCTTATGTTAATTGATAGTTTAGTGTTACTGGGTTTTAATTATTATGCACTATGGGCTATAAGACCTTATATAATAATACCCCTACAGAGAATCCTTCGACACAAATAATTTCAGATATGGTTAATTATTGTCTGTGAAGGTTATGTTTTAGCAAACATAAGTTTGAATAGCCAGTCAAACTGTTAAGAATCAGAATTTACTGTGTTTAAAAAATACACATTTTTTACTAACAGTTTAGTGATTTTTAGGGCATAACGCAAATGAGGATGTTGCTAGAAAAAAGACTTGATTTAAGAAAGTCTAAGATGTCCTTTTTTTCGTTTTCCTTTATACCTGAGATTTCAAAAATATAAAAAGATTGCAGAAGTTTTGACCTGCCATTTGGACAAATTTTTTGATTTTGCATTTTTTTTTTTAGCAGACTGCCTCTTACGAATAATGGATTATTTAACAAAATTAGTTTTATGGAAGGACAGTTTATGTAATGTTTCATATGGATTTATATATTGGCTATCTCTGTAAATTAGGTAGGTGCTCTCTATATTATACAGGAACATTATTTTGTATATGCATTTGTTTACAAACGGAATCATCTGTTGTCAAGCTCCGTCTTTTAAATTCAAATCAAATATATAAGTCTGTACACTTCAGATTTTTAAACACGGAAATCAGTTCGTAGTGAATGTGTTTAACTACTCCAATATCCGGATTCCGTGTTTCATAATTACATTATTCTCATTATTTACTTCAGTGTAAATCGAAAGGTTGCATTTTATATGAACCATATGTGATTTTTATTACATTCAATAATTTGTTATGAGAGCCCAATCGTCGTAATCATGTGCCAATTTAGAATGTTTGTGTCTTCGTTGATGTTCCTTTGAACCTGTTTTTTTTAAACTATTTTTTATGGTCAATTCATAACATTATTTGTGTAATCATACAGTCATGTTATTTATTTAGAAAAAAAAATAGTACAGGGGTTTAAGGTTTCATATATCAGATTTGTAGGTTCGTACACAAAATCAATCTTACAATCTTTGTTTTTTTTTTCTTCAGATTTACCTTTTGTATTAAACAGATGGGTGAGTGTACTTTTTAAAATTTAGAATAATCTAACTATTGAACAGATAAATAATTACTACATTGCACCAAGAGCTTCCGAAAACACATGGAAATGTGTTTACATTTTTTTAAACAGGATAAGTTCAGGTAATTATGACTTTTGTCCAAAAAGTTTAAACATGTTAAAAAAAGTAAAATAACAAAAATACCGAACTCCAAGGAAAATTCAAAACGGAAAGTCCCTTATCAATGGCAAAATCAAAAGCTCAAACATATTAAAATATTGATAACGGGTAGGTGCAGTCAGACATACATATTGTCCTAACATTGAAATTGGTGTTTGTATTTTGGGTGATCCAAGTTCTAGACACAAAATTATTTAGCACGTCTGTTCGACGCAATATGAATCACGGTCAATGAAAATATCCAACACCTGCGGTTCATGTCGGATCTACGGATCAGGATTGGCAAAGTAGTATCCGGGCGGAAAACCCGGGTTTTCAAGGGCTAGGCAATACTCCCTGAAATGAGTAATACTGGGCAAGACTGGGCATTATATCTTTTAGGCTTATTTGTACACAAAATAGTAAAGAAATAATGTAGTTTCATAGTATTACTGCCAAATATATACATCTTATACAGATAAACTCAGAGAGTCAATTTCAGAGGATAAAATATTCAATTTGTCCTTGTCTCCAATCATTCTATAATAATAGGAAGATTACAATTAAGTTGTGCAAATTTTTATTTGCCAAAGTTTGAAGAAATTGATTCTAGCATAATTCTTAATTGCTACACTATATTTTGTTTAATAAACACCCTAAGGTGACACGTCACCCACATTTGTAAATATATTTAATGTAGTTTTAAAAAATCTGTGTTACAATTTGAATAATCACTTATAAATCATTGAAGTACATGTAAGTATGTTAAACTTATATAAAAACTTTTCAGCAATTTAATAACAAAATTGTTGAATAGTCCATTTTCCTTACATATAGTCAATTGTTTACTCTAAATGTTACTTATATATATAATAACACAATTGACTATGGCGTAAAGGTTGCACAATTAAGATAGAACTAATGGCAATTTAATAAATGTTAAGGAGTACTATCTATAAATCCTAATGAGAAAACATTTCCAATTTGTATGTCTTAGAGTTGCTGGACCAATATTTTCCGTTTATTGTATACCCTCAAAACAAATGAATTCAAAAATTAGAATAGTGTGTCTTGCATTTCAAATTCTGACCTCTCTTTAAGATTTAGATCATTATTTCATATTACCCAGTAGTGGCCCAGTATTTCCCAGGGCTGGGCAATACTCATAAAACCCGGGTTTTTGCAAACCCTGCTATGGATAGTCTGTTGTTTGACTGTTTAAAACCCTTTGAGAATTCACCAGATTCTCAATAAACTGTTTTCTTTCCATACGCAGGCTCAATTAAATAAATCTAGAGGCAAAACACACTTTCGTTATTGATAAAATAATACTGTACAATTCAAAAACAGGATGGTTTAACTCAATAATGGTGAACATTGCAAATTACAGGCTATTCCATATAGCACGTCGATTCAACGCAATATAAGTCACGGTTGTCCAAAATATCCAACAGGTGCGGTACTTATCGCGTCTATGGATAGTATGTAATCCTCATCACATTCTTACTAAACTGTTTCCATACAATACGCAAGCGTTATTCACAAAATCTGAAGGCAAAACACACTTTCGTTTTTGATAAAATCTCTGTACAATTCAAATACAACTGGCTGGTTAAACTCAATAACGATGCACATTGCAAAATACAGAATACTTTAAATAGTGACAACTACTTTCAAAGATGACGAAAAACGTAGCTATTTTAAACTCGAATTCGCTAATTAGGACTTGGATGCTGTCAATTCTAGCAATATTTTCAATTAAATGTCTATACAGAAAATAATATTTGATTATTTCAAAAAAAAAAACACCTGTCATTTTTATACCTACACCATACCAATTGCATCCAAAATGTTCAGCCACAAAAGGGAAGCAGAAAACCTTACCATAAAGGATGCATTAATCGATTGTTCCTCGTCCCCATACAACTGTGGTACTGCTGGTACATGTAACCAGAGATCTTGACACGAGAAAAATGAAAAAAAATAGAGAAGTATAAGCCACAGGCTCAAAATGCAGAATTTCCCAGACCATAAATTCGAAGAATGCAAACGAGGACATTTCCCGGAAATGGATTAAACGCAAATCAGATGAACCGACACAAGACACTTTATCTGAATAAAGGAAGGTTGTTCGGCCATGCACTTAGAAGCGCATTTAAAAAACGACGTACCATTAGCATATGGGCTACTAATCCTTTCAAGTTTCCCAAGGTTGTGGGTGTCTAATCCTCTCTTCATGCATGGTAAATATGTTGCTGTTCCAGCAGACAAAGCCTCAAATAATATTGATTTAGAAGCAAAAACCAATATTTTTAATGCCTTACTAAAGACAAATGGAATTCACAGCAAATTTATGAATCCCACATATACTCCTATATTATTAACGAAATATGAGATTTTAGAATTATCACAAAGGCATCATTCTCTTCTTTGGTATTAACATTAAAAAGACGATGGCAATGTCCGGTCGTATAGTGGATACGGAAACGTCAATGAAAATCCTTATAAAGAACGATATAACGGGTCGTCTAGATGTTCGACAAAACATATTTCTAAAGTTCTTAATAAGCCTCTTTCTACGATAAAAAATTGCCTAATAATAATATAATGACGTATATTCAACCAGTTATATCAGTTTGATGTAGATTCTTTAAAAATTCTAAAGATCAACCCAAACATCGTTAAATAAAGAACAATCAATCAATCAAACATCGTCTATCACAATCATTGCTTTTTTTCAATAATATGCAAACTTGTTTTACGCTAGCTCCTCACGACAATGCCATGCCTAATTGAAAGATTTACTACATCTTCTCATTAAACATAGCTTTTTCGTCAAAAATGGGAATCGTAGATAAATTCCTTGTTTTATGTCATAAAAAATCTTACTGTGTGAAGAACCACACTGATTCAACAAATAGACCGAAAATGATATCATCAAAATGAAAGAGTTATTAATCGAAAACCTATTTGGTTCTTTGAGGGATCGTATCTCAACTAACCATCTGTATTCCTTTGGGTGCTAATTGTACACTCATTTGGAAGACTCGGTTGTATTAAGATATTAGATCTATAATGAGTAAAAACTACGTGTATGTTTCTTAAATTGTCAACTTTAACATTAAAAGATAGAAAAAGCATAACGTGTAGTAAGCAAAATAAACATGTCAAAAGTTTAAAACAATTAATAAAAGAAACATGGAGTTATTGATATATTCAGAATTAATTAATCAAAATAGTTTACTTGGAGAAGAAATGAAATATTAATGTCACCCGAAGAGTTGATTTTTTCATAATAAGCCCATATATTAGACCACATACAATATCAGCAATTATAAGAGCTGAACTAATTGCACATACAGTTCATCAAGCCATCTTAAAACAAATAAGATCTAAAGCACAAAATAAAGGCAAATATTTCTTTCTGATGAAAGATAGTATATTGAATGAAGCAAAATACGCAGAAATTATAACTCATTTAATTGACACCTATCAAGAAAAAAGTACTCACAAAAAATAAAGATTCAAGAGTTACTTATGATATTTTCAAAAAGGGAGTTACACATTGCATACTGTAAATAAAAGGCTTCTGAAAGTAAAAAATAAAAAATCTTTAAAAAAAATATATTAAAATGCTTATATGAAAATTCAAGTACTTCAGAAAATAGTAAAATAGAAATGAACAATATACAAAAATGAAACTTGAGGTGCCCAAATATGGTCCACAGTCAGATGGGCAGAAGAAGGGAAAATACGAAATACTTTTTGTGTCTTAAAAAAAAAAGACAACCAAAAATAACCCTTTTCTGCTTTTAAACATGATCACGGTAAAATGGTTACAGATTCATTGGATATTATAATCCTTAGAAAAAACTAATACTAGAACCTACTTAAAAGTACTGAGCCAGACCCTTCCAAAAATATAAAAAAAAAATTAGTGAAACAAAGATCGATCACAAACTATCCAATAATGAAAGTCAATTACTGGACAGAAACCTAGCAATGGCAGAATGTATAAATGCCATATGCAATATAAAACTGAATAAATCCCCTGTACAAGATGGTTAGTGTAGAATTCTGTTGTACTTTCTGTTCACACCTTAAAGAATGTGCAATTATAGGTTGAACTTCTGTAAATATAGAAAATGCGTTTTCCAATAGGAACTCCTTTTACGTCTTAGACTGTGTCACTTTTACTATTAAGTTTCGTGAAGACTAGTAGTCTAGAATGGAAAGTTCATATGCACTACTGTTTTTTTACAAAGGGTAAATCATAGGGCTGTGCGGCATATCTTTAACATGATATGTCTCGAACTTCTATGAAGTTAAACTTATAATTGAATTCGAGGAAGCTTTTTCCCATCATATTTTTTTTTCAATTTTAACAAAAGATAAAATACATACCTTATTTTCAAGCACAACAACTATCAAAAATATCACCGGCATTATATACCTAATTACCTTTAAAGATAGATATACAAAAAACAGTGCGACATGTTTGCTTTCTCTTGATGAAGATATGCTATAATATGTACCGAAACAACCCAGTAATATCTTATAAGAGTTATTGGCCCTGGCATGTTTTGATATATGATTAATTGATTATTATTCATCTTTGAAAATGTTAAAGACATAGGATTTTTTGCAAAATGTTTGTTGACATATGACCTTGACAAATATCAACCGGAAGTACCCTTGAGTAAACCGGAAGTAGCCATATTTGCACTTTTTTCATGGAAAATTACGTAGAAATCATATATTTTATCAATAGGCCAACATAAACATATCGTTTGAGACAGGAAATTACCTTCTATAAATCGGAAGTAGCAAATTATCTTTTCTTAGGCAAAAGTATA